GCCAGTTGGTAGTGCTAGTCGTATCAAGGCGTGACGCGCGGCGGGTTCGAGACTTCAATCCTCAGAGTTTTCGGAATGGGTTTATAAAGGCTAAGCCGTTTGTAGCATCCATGTTGAGGGGTACCAAAATAAGGGAAGTGTATATATAGAGGGGGGAAAAATAGTAGGAGAAAAATTGTGGGAAAGACAGTCGAGTTAAGACGTTTCGGTCCTTCAAGCCATATACGTCTTAGCTCAACACCACGACTAGACCTCGTCAGTATGACGGTCGCGGTGTTCAGGGATAAGAAGGAAAGGAGGGAATATAAGAGAGAGAAGAGAGGAGGAAATAAAAGAAAGAAAAGTGGGAAAAGAAGCAGAGAAAAAAGGAAAAAGGGAAGAAAGAAAAAAAGGAAAAAGAGAGAAAAAAAGAAGAAAAAGAAGGAATGGAGTTTTATTAGTAAGTGAGCGGGGAGGGGAGGGAGAGGGGAGAGGGGAGGAAAGGAGGAGAGGGGAGGGGTAGTTTATGTGAAAATATTTAGAGTGTAGTAGAAGTGTTAGGAATTAATGGGCGGAGGCAAGTAGGTAGAGTACATAGGACTACAGCTATAGTGAAAAGTATCATGCAACTTGCATGGGAAGGTAAAATGCAAAAAATTTTGTCCAAAAAAAAATTGGGTGGGCCTACAGAGCATTGGAAATGCGGTAATTTTTGCAGTATAGCATGAAAGTGAGGAGAGGAGGAGCTGGAACCACTGTTTTGGACTGTAACATCAAAATGAGGATACATTTTTTTCGCTTTAATTTTGTTGAAAGTTGGATATACCAGTTTAATTTTGTGCAAAAAATCGTTGTAAAAAAATCATTAAGCTTATTTTTCCAGTGTTTATAGGTTTTAAATTAAAAAAAAATTTTTTTTTTTCAGGATCGAAATTGCGTCAGCTAAAGAAGACATTTCCAGAAATTCTCAGTGGCGTGAGTTTTCATTTTTCTATGCTTTTCTTTCATTAAAATTGTTTTTTGTATTAGCTATATATGTTTTAGTACCTAATATGCAGTCAGCTACTGTACTTCATATCCTGAACTTTACTACGGATTTCAGACTGGTTTTTAAAATGGCTTTCCTTTTCAGGAGGGGGGGGGGG